CAGTTCTGGAGAATATTCCATATGCTGATGAAAAGAATGCATACTGTGCAACTGTTGAATGAAATGTTCTACAAATGTCTGTTAGGTCATTTGGTCTGTGATGCAGTTTAAATTCCATGTTTCTTTGATGATATTCTGTCTAGATGATTTGTCCAATGCTAAGAGTAGGTGTCAAAGTCCCCAGCTGTTATTGTATTGGGATCTATATTTGCCTTTATATCTAATATTTTCTTTATAGATCTGGGTGCTCCAGTGCAACATGCATATTTAAAATTGTTACCTCCTCATGTTAAATTGATTCTTTATAGTTATATAATTACTTTCTTCATCTTTTTTTTTTACAGTTTCTGTTTAAAGTCTGTTTTATCTGATATAAATATGGTTACTCTTGCCAGATTTGGGTTTCCATTTGCATTGAATATCTTGCTTCATTTCTTCACTTTCAATCTATATGTATCTTTACAGGTGAGGTAAGTTTCATGTAGGCAATGTATTGCTGGGTCATTTTTTAAAATATACATTCAGCCAGTCTATATCTTTTAAGTAGGAAATTTAATCCATTTATATTTAAGGTTATTAGTGATAGGTAAAGACTTACTCCTGTCATTTGGTTACATGTTTTCTCATTGTTTTTTATATATTTGTTCCTTACTTCCTCTCTTATTGTTTATTTTTGCAGTTGAATGATTGTCTGTAATGATAAGGTTTTATTCCTGTCTCTTTTTCCTTTGTGTATCAGCTCTACCTGTGAGTTTTATAGTTTTGCATGTTTGCATGATGGTGGCTACCATTTTTCATTTCTATGTATAAGTCCCTTGAGCATTTTGTGTAAGGCTAACCTAGTGATGATACATTTTTGTTTATCTGTGAAAAATTTAGTTTTTGTTTATCTGTGAAAATTTTTAATCTTTAGGGTTTCTTTTTTTCTTTTTATCTTTTTTTTTTCATGCATGACCCATACTGAGACTTAAAAGGTTTTCTTATTATTTTAAATTATTTTTCTGACATTTCATATATTTTCTTATTATTGATGTCTGTTACTTGAGAATTACTGTTTTCCTTTGGAAGTGTCATGTTTCCTATGGTCCTACATTAAGTTCTATGCATCTAGTGGAAAAAATGCCTCTTCCAATATTATGGAGTAGTGTCACAGGGAAAGACTTATTTGTATGAATGGGTCTTGGGATGTCAGTTCAGTGGGTTGTGTTGGCTTTGGTTCTAAGTGGATACGGTAGTGTAATCTCCATGCGGTTTCTTCAGTATTTGCAAGTTTCTCAGTAGCCTAGGCTTAGAGAGTTTGTGGCATCAGTGGTACAGCTTTGCCAAGGGTGGGCTCACCAGATTGTGTCTCAGGTCAGGGACAGACACATGCACACAGTTGGTTGGCCAACCTGGGTCTGGCTTGCTGAGTCTGGGGCCATGGGGCTGTTACTGTGGCCAGGAGCATGATCACACAGTTGTTGTCTATGAGTAGCAGCCCACAGAGATGTTTCTCAGGCCTGGGATGTGGGTGCACAGCTGCTTGGGTGTGGGTGATCTGGGGGCATGATTACTGGGGGTGGCCCACAGAGCTGTTTCTCAAATTTGGAACACCAATGCAAGTCTGCTTGGCCAACTCAGGGATATGCCCACTGGGGCAGCCTGTGGGCTATTTCTGAGGCCTGATATGTGGGTACAGGGCTACTTGGCAGCCTGGAGCATGTCCACCTGGGGTGGCTTATAAGGCTGTTTCTCTGGTCCTGGATATGGGTTCTTGCATGCTTGGCTGGCCTGGGGCATGCCTGTCAGGAACAACCTGCATGACTGTGTCTCAGGCCCTGATTGTGGGTACAGGGTCATTGGGCAGGCCAGGAACATGTCTGTAAGGGATGGAGGCACTGTGGAACTGTTTCTTCATGTTCTAATCATAGGTACATAGCTGTTCTGCTTGACCGGGGGTGTATCAGCTGTTCAGATACAGCTCAGGGGTCTCTCTCACTTGAGGGTGTGTATGCACCATTTGGCTTGCTTAAGGTTTTCCATGGATAAGACTTCCATGCTCTTCCCTTTGGCTCGAAGTGCAGCCGTGAGGCTTGGTTTCCCTGCTGTGTAAAACCAAAGCCACAGCAGATCCTGGCCCAGGTTCTGCCACAGGTGGTGTTGTGGTGTTCAGCCACTGGTGTGGGCTTGGTGGGATGAAGATGGAGCCCTAGGGCTGGAGAGATGCAGTGGCCAGTGGCCCCCCAGAGCAGGGTACTCTCCAGAGATGGCTCTGGTCTCAAGCAGCAGCTTGGCTCACCGATGGTGACTGGGGAGTAGGAGTGCATACCTTGTGCTCTTAACCTGAGGCATTGCGACTGTGTGAATTCCCAGCAACTCTCCAAACTAGGCTCAGGGCTTGTGAGGACTGTGGATTCTCCTGTTGTAAGAACTGTAGGTGTTTTTGGTAGCTATAGGGGCTGGTGGGGCTTTTCTGCTTACCTTTTCCCTGCTATGAGAAGTCTCCCCTGACTCTGGGCAGATCCAATCCCCATGGGTGATATGGGTGCCTCCACACTGCCCTCCTTGATTTTCCACCACCACAGACATGTCTCTGCTCCTGGCTGCACTCCAGTGACCTTCCTTTGACACCCCAGTCACATCTTAGCAGTTTATTCATTGCTTTGGTCCTTTCTTGTGGGGAAGGATGAACGCCGGACATCTGTAATCATCTATCTTGCTGACATCACTCTCTGAGAATTTTTCTATACTAGCCCTTATTGCTTTTTAAAATATTAAAAATTATAAGAATAACTTTAATTTTTAGGATGAAAAATGCTCAGCAGGTACTGTTTCATTAGCCTCACTATTATCACTATCAGAAACAATGAAAAAATGAATCCCTAAATAAATAGCAAAAATCATAGAATTTCAAAGATATAAAAGATCTTAAGAATTAATAAATCTCAAATTCTTCAAGGTCTTGCCCCTGCCTTCTCAGCTCCTTGCGCCATTTATCAGCTAACTCTAATGGAGAGAAATAAATATATGAAGAAAAACAAAACAAAACAAATTTTGGTTATAAGTAATCCTCTTAAGCCCAATTTAATAAAGCATGCATTTCTTTTTATTGCCTATTTGCATCAGGAGTATAATTACTGGCTAAAGTCTAATTTGAGAATGTTAATTCTGAATGAAAGATGTAATATTCTAAGAAAGAATGAAATTCACTACTGCTGTATTGCACCGATATTTGTAGGATTTAGTCATGCTTGTGAGATTGATAAATAAGTTATATATATTATTTTTCTTTTCCAAGACCATGGATTTCAGTAACACTTTCTGACTGTGTACTTTGGAACACTGATAAAAAAATTAGGTTGGGTACAGTGGCTCATGCCTGTAATTCCAATACTTTGAGAGACCCAGGCGGGAGGATCGCTTGGGCTCAGAAGCTCAAGACCACCCTGGACAATATGGCAAGACCCTGCCCCTACAAAAAAAGAAAAGGAAAAAAATTATTTGGGCATGGTAGTGTACCTGAGGTCCCAGTTACTCAAAAGGCTGAGGCAGAGGGATTGTTTGAGCCGGGAGGTCAAGGCTGCAGAGAGCCGTGATAGAGCCACTGTACTCTAACCTGGGTAACAGAGGGAGACCTTGTCTCAGAAAAAAATAAAAATTAAAAAAAAAACAATAACCTTGTTGAATATTCTGCCCTCAGATTTACTAGTCTTTAAAATATAAATTGAGCATCTTAAATCTAGATGAGTGAAAAACACTGGAGATTTAAACTTATCTATACTGTCACTTTAGGTCCTTTAGAAATGAAGAATTTACTTTATAAAACATTTGTATTTCTTCTCATATCTTGACAGTAGTGCTACTGTGGATCTTTCCTTTGTTTTAAAGAGGATAATGGCAGGCTTTATTTTAATTTGCATCTATTTTTTCAAGGTACATTTACTTGGTATTTCTCAGCCTCTTGAAAAATTTTATCATCAAGCTTAACCTTCACTTAAGTAATCAGATCTATTTGATAAAGACTATATGAATATTTATTTGTGAACTCTATGGAAAATTACCATTTTAACATTTACTTTCTGAAAGATCCATTGCAGAACTTGAAGTGGGTTAATTTGCCAGACCCCTTATAATGGATCACAATTACATCTTTGCACATTTATTTTGGAGGATAATAGCTAAGATAATTATTCTTCCTGAACTATTTGTTTTATTCAATACTTCCAAAATATTTATTGAACATGTGTCAAGAAATAAGAATTTGGTGAAAATTATGTGACTTAAGTTTACATTTTAGTATGCCACAGAGGTTAAGAAAATAAGTATTTTAATTATTGTTATCAATTTTTAAAATTAGGAGCACAGAAAATAAGCTTCTTTATCCAAAGACATTTCTGAAAGTGAAATCTTCTAAAAAAAACTGCTAGTCTCCTATTTTATCCAATAAACCATAAGAAATGTTATTAAATGTAAATAAGGTACTTTATTTACCTATAATATTCCCAATCACGGCCACCCCCAGTAAGGCCACAGACTTGGTTGTAAAGAAGCTACCAGAAGTTGGTGATTTCTTCTAACCAGCCATTTCAGAATTTATCCTCAGGTCTCTTTGAAACCTTCTATTCCCAAAATAATTGACCTTATTTATTTATAAGGCTCAGCAGCAGCAGTTAACTTCTCTCAGCCTGATAAGGGAAGGACAGGGAGGCAGCAGTGTTGGGGAACGCCAGCAGCCCTATGGAGTGACTGGCAATAGATGTAATAAAAATAGATTATATATTATTACATACAATAAATCTTTATGGCTTTTACAGATTGAATAGCTCACATGTTGCAGAAGTTTTAGATAATTTTACTCTCATATGTTCTATAATCAGTAATGACCTAGTCTTGCTAAACATGTTTCATTACTACCCACAAAGCATTTAAAGAATAACCAGTTATTTTATATCTAGTAAATCGTTTCTAAATATTTGTGGTTATGCTAGCAAATTTTTTAAATGTGCTATTTATTTTTACAGGAGCTTGAGAACTGAATCAAACACTTCAGGTATGGAACAAATTCCACTACATGTTTTATCATGATCCCTGGTATCCAGTAGCCATCTCTGGTTCCTGGAAGAATAGGGTGGTTAAGAGCAAAGGAATTCAGCTACACTTTCTGATGCATTTTCTTTCTTCAATGTGCTCCATTCTGAGAATACTACATTGAAGAAACTCTCAAAGCCGATCCTCAGGCTATCTTTGAAGTGGAAGGCATTATGGTACTTTACTACTTTACTACTTCACTTTTCTTTTTCTGCACTGGTAGAGTTTAGTTTCCCAATTCCCTGGATGTAAATCATCAGGCATAAACCACGCCAAGCCTAGTCCTGCAGGCAGAATCCAAAATACAGCAATTATAAGATCTGTGATCCTTTCTGATATACAAGGGCAATGGTCTACAAGTAAATTTTTGGTAAATATAAAATTATCCAGCTTCCCTTTTTCCTCCTACATCTTTAGCCTCTACCAAGTGATACTATTTAATGTTTTTGTTTGTATGTTTGTTTGTTTTTTGTGAGGCAGAGTCTCGCTGTTGCCAAGGCTGGAGGGCAGTGGAACGATCTTTGCTCACTGCAACCTCTGCCTCCTGGATTCAAGCGATTCTCCTGCCTCAGCCTCCCAAGTAGCTGGGATTACAGGCGTTCACTACCATGCCTGGCTAATTTTTGTATTGTTAGTATAGATGGGTTAAACCATGTTGGCCAGGCTGGTCTCAAACTCCTAATGTCCAGTGATCTGCCCGCCTGGGCCTCCCAAAGTGCTGGGATTCCAGGAGTGAGCCACCACCCTGGCCCTATTTAATATAGGCACCTGTGAAATCTCTCTCTTTGCTGAGTGCTGAACCAGCTTTAAGTTACTTTCTAATCTGAGAGATGGACCAAGTCTCAGCTTCAGTCATGCACATAAAATAACACTATGGAAGGAACATTTAACTTGGCTTAAGTGAAGAGAAAAAAAAAGTATTACTTTAAAAGGCAAGAAATACTTGAAGGCAGTTTAAGTCATATGTACAAGTCATATGTACTCCCACAAAAAAAGGACATTATTATTGGACAGGTTTTTATACAAATGGGAATTGTCTTTGGGCCTTCCTATTGGGCTTTTTTTTTTTTTTTTTGAGACGGGGACTTGCTCTTTCACCCAGGCCAGAATGCAGTGGCACCATCTCAGCTCACTGCAACCTCTGCCTCCCGGGTTCAAGGGATTCTCCTGCCTCAGCCTCCCAAGTAGCTGGGATTACAGGCGCCTGACACTACACCTGGCTAATTTTTGCATTTTTTAGTAGAGATGGGTTTCACCATGTGGGCCAGGCTAGTCGAACTCTGGACCTCAAGTGATCTGCCTACCTTGGCCTCCCAAAGTACTGAGATTACAGGCATGAGCCACTACACCCAGCCCCCATTGGGCTTTAGTGTCTATAAGTACCAGAGGAACTTCACTGTAATGTGGTTTGGCCTATATTCCAATCGATACTATTGAATCTGAGAACATTATAAGGAAATGCTATCATAGCTTATGAGAAAAGTGCAAAATATTCTTTGCAGTACAGAATTTTCATCTATTAACTTCTGCTCTAAACTGTATTTCATAAAGAAATCACACTAAATTCATAGAAATTTCAGTGATATCTAATATATGCAAATATTTTCCTCTTTTTTGCTAAAAGGAAGGACAAATCTACTAGTAGCCTTACTATTATTAAAAATATTGCATGCAGTAAGTACATTCTGTGTACGTTCTAAGACAGTCATGTTTTAGCCATGGGAGTTTCAAATTAATGTAAAACATTGACACTGTTCTTTTCATCCTATATATGACTAATTCTTTAACCTGTTTTCTAGCACAGACAGTATTTGATTCCTACATATCATATATGCAGCACTCTGTAGGCTGTGGGAGGGATTAAAAAAGAACTTGACATAGTCTGGCATAGTGGTGTGTGCCTATAGTCTCAGCTACTTGGGATGCTGAGGCGGGAAGATGGCTTGAGCCTGGGAGTTTAAGGCTGTACTGAACTGTGGTCACACCACTGCACTCCAGCCTAAGCAACACAGTGAGAATGCTGTCTCAAAAAAACAAAACCAAAACACAGTAAAATAACAGAATATATTACCTGGCCTTAGGACATGTGTCCAAATAATATAAACCAGAATGTATGTTAGTTAGCTGTACTTTAAAAGAAAAGTCTGGAACTTATTTTTAGCTCAAGAGACAAAATAATGAGACTGTATGAAAAAGGCAGTCTTTGAGTTAGGAAAGGAGAAAACAAGATATCCTGAATATAGGGAACAGGGTGAGCAAAATCAAACAAATGGGAAAGTGTTGGGCATGTTCAATTTAGGAGTAGTGAGAGATGTGACCGAAAAGCAAAGCAAGAGCCGAATTATGGAAATAATGGATCATGCTAAGAAGTTAGGTAGCTAAAGAGGAGCCACTGAAAGACAGGGAAATGACAACATTATTGTTATGTTTTAGAATGATTACTCTGACTGCAGTCTCTAAGAGAAGCTGGAGGAAGCTAGAAGTAGGGAGACCAGTTAGGAAGCTACTCTAAAAGTCAGGTGAAGTGTACCAAAGTCTTGAACCAGGTGAGAAGCAATCACGGTGGAAACAAGGACATGAATCCATAGTCAAGAAAATGTATTAACTAACTGCCTGCATGGACCAGAGTTAAAAAACTGGGTATGTCAGTTTGGGAGACACCATGACTAGGTGATAGTAAGCTCATGAAACAAGCTGGGGAAAGGAATTGGAAAAATTTTGAAAGGGAAAGATTAAGAAATCAACTCTGAATCACTGAAGTTACAATCAAATGACCTAGCTTTTAGTTCTAACTACACATCCTGTATTACATAGCCATTAATCTCTCTGGGCCTCAATTTCTTCAACTATAAAATGTGTATGCAAGTGGCTGGGTGAGGGGAGGAGGAGGGCATGATTAGTTGTCTCACGATCCTTTTGGCAGTTAAGATTCTATGAGCTACCATATTTGTAGTCCTGGGCCTCATATTTAACAACCTAGCAGGCAGCTTGAAATGGGGCTTTGGAAATCAGAAGCTAAGCAAAGATACAGCAAATGAGGAGCAAAATTCCAATGTGGACTTGTTAAATTACAAGGGTGATACAACATATAAAATGGGCATGCAGTTTTCCTCAAAGTATTAATTATTTTCCCTGTTTGTTTTCTCTTATGTATTTCTTACTTCTTTCTATCTGTTTCTCCCATGTTTTCCAACTTTTTCTTACTCAGGCTTGTATTGTTTTTCAGTTTTTCCCCTGATTAGCATTTCTTTCCCCATTTTCACTCTCCTCTAAATCACCTGTTCCCCTTCCATACACTTTTACTGTCACTTAACACCCTGGAAGAAAAGCAAAGACTGTTCAAATCTAATCCCTCATTTTATTAAATGTAATTGGAGTATAAATTAAAAATGAGTCTGTAATTCTAATTTATATTCTAGGTAGAAATCAGAATAATAACTGCTCCCCACAGTAGCAAAACAAATTCTGGCATTATTAAGTTCATCTGATTCACATTCACCCAGCTCCTGGGCAATGCTAGTTTGGGACCATGATCTCAAATTCATCTCTCAAACTCTCAGCAGTTCGAGAAAATTACATTTTTTTCTCCATTCTGCATAAGATTTTGGGATAAAGTGGCACTTTAAATGCACTTTTAACAAACTCAGGTTATACATGAAATAGGGCCCAGGTTAAATTTGTCTCTCTGAATCTGAGTTCATTTCTCTCCTCTTTTGACTTAGTTTTTACCTTTCTAGGCTTTATTCTCCTTAACTTAAAAAAAATTTTTTTACAGTGAGCCCAAATTATAGGCTTATCTCTGATCCTTTGATATTTTTTTCAAAGATGAAAAGAAATGAGGCAAAGGATATTCAAGAAAGGAAAAATCACATAAAATATTGGGAATTTCCTTCCCACCCTTACCCATCTTTCTTTCCCATGTTCTTCTTAAATATTACAAACCAAATTCCTTGGAATCCTAAGCAGCCAGGTTCATTCTTTGTCTATAAAACCCAGGCTTAATAAAAAAGGAGGGAGCCCTCTAAAAGGGAACCTGCTTGTGAAATTCAACAATAAGCTCCATTGCAAAACAAACTCCATTTTTGATGTGGTTAGCACATAACCTGAATTTAAGATTCAAAATAAGTTTGTTCTCCTTCTGTGTCTTTTTTTTCTTCTGCTTTTGGCTTTTTTCTTTCTTTCTTTCTCACTTCCTCTCTAATGATTTCTCTCCTGCTTTCCCTACTCCTTTTCTTTTTTCCCTCTGGTTCTCTCCCCTCATATCAAATCTTCTTCTAATTTCCTCAAGCTTGTGCCTCATCTGTCTCCCCTTTTCTCAAGGGAATGAATGTGAGGAAAGAAAAGTAAAATAGAAAAAGACAAAATTGATGAAAAAACATGTAAGACAACCAGCCTAAAGGTAACTTTTTAATTATGTCTCTATAGGAATGCATGATAGCTATACTTTCATATACAAAAGTTGTTAATAGTGGGACCTTTTTTTTTTTTCCTTTTTGAGACGGATTCTTACTCTGTCACCCTGTCTGGAGTGCAGTGGCACAATCTCGGCTCACTGCAACCTCTGCCTCCTGGGTTCAGGCAGTTCTCCTGCCTCAGCCTCCTGAGTAGCTGGGATTACATGCACATACCACCATTCCCAGGTAATTTTTGTATTTTTAGTAGAGATGGTGTTTCACTATGTGAGTCAGGCTGGTCTTGAACTCCTGACCTAATGATCCACCTGCCTTGGCCTCCCAAAGTGCTGGGATTACAGGCGTGAGCCACTGTGCCCCACAATAACTGGGATCTTTTAACATTAAATCTTATTCTACTGTAGTAACAATATAAGTGGAATGAAATGTTAAGGGTTTGTTGTGGTTTCTGCTCTAGAATCCATCATGGGTCAAAAGATAACAACAGCACAGGGAAGAGGGGAGGGAACTTTAGGTGAGGCACCGAAAGAGAATAATGTGCTGTGCTACCATAGTGATTCCTCTCATTCCCACTCTTCTTTGCAACCTTATCATGCTCTTTCCCAACCTACTTTTTAGATCAGCCAATACAATCAAGGCCTCTTTTGTCATAGCAAAATGATACAGATATTAATAGAGTGCCTGCAGGACTATCATGCACAGTTATGTAACTTGTACACACCATCCACGTTGTAGTTCATGTGCAATTCATAATCTGCACAGCTGTTTGGGTTGGCCCTGGCCTACTGTATTCTGAGTTTCTTTGAAACACCAGCTCTGCAGTGCATTGCTATAGAATGAAACTTCTCTCAGCCATGATAACAACACCCAGTAGCAGAGAAAGAGTTGAAGCAATGCAACTTTAGGGCCATTGTGTCTTCTGTTGCTTCCTTCATAAATCTAATGTTGTGTGTGTGTGTGTGTGTGTGTGTGTGTATGTAAGGGCTGAGTACCACAGGTGGCCTGGGCAGTACATCTTGCCCATCTTGGCAGGGCCTTGCTAATAGAATTGAAGTGCCTACTCTTCCGTCCACCCTTCTCTTACTCTGCTACCAAAGCCAGCTTAGCACTTGAACATTTTGTTTACTTATTTATTTATTTATTTATTTATTTATTTATTTATTTTTCTGAGACCGAATCTTGCTCTGTTGCCCAGACTGGAGTGCAGTAGCACAACCTCAGCTCACTGTAACCTCCGTCTCCTGGGTTCGAGTGATTCTCATGCCTCAGCCTCCTGGGTTGCTGGGATTACAGACAAGCACCAACATAACCAGTTAATTTTGTATTTTTAGTAGATATGGGGTTTCATCATGTTGTCCAGGCTGGTTTTGAATTCCTGATATCAAGTCATCCACCCGCCTCGGCCTCCCAAAGTGCTGGGATTATAGGTGTGAGTCACCATGCTTAGCTGAGCATTTTGTTTATTAACAGGGCCCCACTAAGATGCACACTATAGGTGAAAGGTAATGCATCAGAGGAGAACAATGTGGCTGAAAAGCAACAAATTTCCATACTCAATAATTCCCAGGCCTCCACATACATTTCCTCATCTGTACCTGTTTTTTTGGTCACTTCTTTCTCCCTTAAGAATGCTCCCAATATTCCCCTTAACTTGTTGTATAGTGTAGAGACAGTGACCGGTAGCATACAGGATGACATATGCTGCCTCCTATATCCACCTAGATAGAGTCCCAAACTCTGCCATTTCTCAATACAGCACAGAATTTAAAGAGAGAAATTTATTTCGAGATAACTCAGTATTTTACAATGATTTCAATCCCTTGATGGCTCTATTCAGCAACAAAATTTCAAATATTAGGGTCTCATTAAGAGACAGCTTCAAATGCAAAGAATGACAAAAAATTATATATACACCATACTTAAATTTTGACTTCTTAAATTGAAAAAGTTGCTCCCAAATACTTATATTTTAAATTGGTGATATATGGGAAAAGGTATATATATTTTTAATGGTAGGAAAAGTTTGTTACTAATACAGACTTCATGTTACTACAAATAATGTGAAAGATTTCATCTTATTACAACTGAAGTAATCTGAAAGTTAATTGGACTCTTATTTACTATAGCATATTATGATGTATGTAGGTCTTATGACCAAATCTTAGGATTCAGTATAGCACAGATTAAAAACTTGCAAATAAACCAACAGCAGGTATAGAATTTTTATTTTGTTTTTTGTTTGTTTTAAATTTTGTCACAAATTTAAGAGAGTAAGACCAGATGCTGTGGCTCACACCTGTTATCCCAGCACTTTGGCAGGCCAAGGCCAGCAGATCACCAGATTCAGGAGTTTGAGACCAGCCTGACCAACATGGTGAAACCCCATCTCTACTAAATACACAAAAATTAGCCAGGCATGGTGGCATGTGCCTGTAATCCCAGCTCTACTTGGGAGACTGAGGCAGGAGAATCTCTTGAACCTGGGAGGTGGAGGTTGCAGTGATCCGAGATCTTGCCATTGCACTCCAACCTGGGCAACAGATAGAGACTCCATCTCAAAAAAAAAAAAAAAAAAGGGAAAAGAAATTTAAAAGAGTAAAAGCCCATAATCTTAATCTTAACATCCTGAATGGATAGGTTTTTGCTTGGGTATAAACAGCTTTTAAAAACAAGAATTTTAAGAAATTATGTTTCTTTTAATAATGTTTTAATTGCTAGATTTTAAAAAAAGATATCTTATTCATCCAAAATATCTTTATTTTTTATATCAAGAAGTTGTAATATAAATATAATTTTATGTATTTCAATTATTATTTTACCTATATTTAGTTTCTCATGCCTTAACAGTAATAACATTAAAAATATTCTGTATTTCAGACTTTTGATTAAATGGACTGCCTTCACCTTTTTTTAAAAATCAGATACAAACTACTGAATGAAAAAGCAAACACAGCTCAGGAAAAGACAATCAGTGCAAGAGGAAAACCAAGCAGTGTCTTCTATGTGGCAGAAATAAAGCCTACTGCTAATCATTAAGAATTCAAATCCATGTCAATCTAATTTGATAAATCTTAACTAATTTAATTATGGATATTTATTTTAAAGGAAGCTAGAGGACTATGCAAAAACAAGATTTCCAATTCATAAACTCAGTTTTTACCTGTGGGATTTCTTTTCTTTGGGATTGATGGAAAATTTTGTTATTCTCTTGTTTTTCCTTTTCTCATTTGTACATTAGTCCAACATTGTTTTGTTTCTAACACTGGACAATGTGAGTTGACTGAACGTGGGGACTATGTTCATCTTTTGTTCTAGCTGACTACCTGGTGCTGAGAGACAGTATTTATGGAATCAATGCGTAATTTTTAAACAGGTTAAAAAAATCCATATACTTTTAAAAATAAAAAAGAAACTACAGACAGTCCCCATACAGAGAATAGTTTGACTTTTATTTTTACTTTTTGAGACAGTCACCCTCTTTCACCAAGCTGGAGTGTAATGGCATGATCTTGGCTCACTGCAACCTCTGCCTCCCAAGTTCAAGCGATTCTCCTGCCTCAGCCTCCCATAAAGCTACAGGTACATACCACCATACCCATCTAATTTTTGTATTTTTAGTAGATATGGGGTTTCACCATGTTGAGATGGTCTTGATCTCTTGACCTCGTGATCCGCCTGCCTCCTAAAGTGCTAAGATTACAGGCGGGAGCCACTGCACCTAGCCAGTTTGACTTTTTAAAAGCCATCACTTATTTTCTAAAAGCTGCTAATTATTCTAAAACATGTTTTTAATGTATTATCTCACTTAATCTTCACAATAATATAAGGGACACTATTATTTTCCCTGTTTTACAGATGGTAAAAGTGAAGCCTAGAGGTTAAAGTTACTTGTCCAGGTCACACAGCTAGAAAATGGTGGAGATGGCCTTTGAACCCAAGAAGCCCAACAGACAAGCTAAACACAAATTTGTGATTCACATTAACTCATATTTTAAATTCAGAATAAGGATAGTTAGGTTTTTAAAAAGCTATGGAAATCTATTTAAGTCAAATCTCACACAAACAGTCCTGGTTTTTCTACTGTAAACTGAGAATATCTCTCATCTCCATCTTTCTTTTCCTGTCCCACAGGCAACTCTCTAGAATTGCGTAGTCCCACACAGTGGCCACTAGGCATATATGGCTATTGAGCACCTGCAATGTAGCTAGTGTGACTGAGAAACTGAATTTTAGATCCTTTTTAACAGATCTAAATTCTAATTTTAAAACTAGAACAATGTACAATATTTTTCTATGAACATGACTTTATTGTTTTGGTAGGGCTACCTTGTTCACTTCAACTGTTGAAAATCTAGTGTCTAGGGCTGGGTGTGGTGGCTCACTCCTGTAATCCTAGCACTTTGGGAGGCCGAGGTGGGTGGATCACCTGAGGTCAGGAGTTCAAGACCAGCGTGACCATCATGGTGAAACCCCATCTTATAAAAAAAATATATATATAGAAAAATGAAAGAAAATCTAGTGTCTAAAGTAAGATACACTGTAAGTGTAAAATATATGCTAGATTTAGAAGTCTTTGAGAAAAGAAGAATGCAAAATATTTCATTAATAAGTATTATAAGCCATGTGCAGTGGCTCACACCTGTAATCCCAGCACTTTGGGAGGCTGAGATGGGCATATCATGATGTCAGGGGTTTGAGACCAGCCTGACCAACATGGTGAAACCCCGTCTCTACTAAAAAAAATACAAAATTAGCTGGATGTAGTGGCATGACCCCGTAATCCCAGATACATAGGAGTCTGAACCAAGAGAATTGCATGAACCTGGGAGGTGGAGGTTGCAGTAGGCTAAGGTCGCACCACTACACTCCAGCCTGGGTGACAGAGCAAGACTCCATCTCAAAAAAAAAAAGTGTTATATTGATTATATGTTTAAATAATATTTGAAAATATTGGTTAAATAAAAATATTTAAGGATTAATTTCACATTTCTTTTTACTTTTTTGATGTGCCTACTAAGCAATGTGTCACAAAATTACATATGTGAAAAAAAATATGACTCATGATAGATTTCCATCAGACAGCACTTCTCTAGAGAAAAACCATCTACCCAATGTCTTGGCCCATAGCCCAGGGAATTCCCCTCCTCCTCTCAGTGCTGTTCCCAAGACAGAAGGAGTTTCTTTCCAACCTTCACAATTAGGAGTAAAAGCAGAGGTTCCATGAAACCGAAAGGAGACTAACGTTTTTAAGTTAGGTATATACATAAACCAACAGTTTCTAATTTGGAGATGACTATATCGTCATCAAAACTGTTTTCATGATACAGATTATCTGTAACTTCTACTTTTGTTCACTTGGGGGGGAAAAAGATTATCTAACAAAATGATTTTTACAGGAAGAAAATTATAACTATGAGTGATTATTTCTATCTAGCAACATAATCCTTCAAAGGGCAACATACACTGTAGCTAGTGTACAACCACCGTGGAAAACAGTTTGGAAAATTAAGTTAAGACATGTGATCAGCTGGACATGGTTGCTCATGCCTATATTCATTCCCAGCACTTTGGGAGGCTGAGGCAGGAGGATTGCTTGGGCCCAGGAGTTTGAGACCAGCCTGGGCAACAAAGTGAGGCCCTGTCTCTACAAAAAATTAGTTGAGATGGCCCACATCTAAGGTCCCAGCTCCTTAGGTGACTGAGGATGGATGATTGCTTGAGCTTGGGAGGTCGAGGCTGCAGTGACCCATGCCACTGTACTGCAGCCTGGGTGACAGAGCAAGACTCTCTTTCAAAAAAAAGACATACGATCAAACAATTGTATTCCTAGGTATTAAAAAAAAACTAAAAACATGTTCACATATGTTTAAAATAAGACATATATTCAAAATAAGATGCATATACAAATAGTCATAGTTTTGTTCATAATAGCAAAAAACTGGAAGCACCCAAATGCCCATCAACAGGTGAATGATTAAACTGTGGTATGGTCATACAGTGATACTACTTAGCAACAAAAAGAAACTTAACTATGGAATACAAAAGTCACCCCTTATTCACAGTCTTGATTTCCACAGTTTCAGTTACCTGTGATCAAAAATATTAAATAGTTCCAGAAATAAATAATTCATAGGTTTTAAATTGCATGTGATTCTGAGTAGCATGATGAAATCTCACACCATCCCACCTGGAACAGGAACCCTCCCCTTGCAGCTATCCAGGCTATATATGTTACCTGTTCCTTAGTCTTCACAAGCACTGTAGGAAGTAGCTGCTTTTATTATACTCATTTTATGAATAAGGAAGTAAATTTCAGAGAAATTAAGTGACATTCTTCTAATCAGACAGCTAGCAAGTGATAGAGCTGGGTTTAAACCCAGACAGAGAGAGAAGTAAAATATTCCATTTTAGAGCTCTGGGACACTCCAAATATTAGCATACAAGGAGAAAAATAAGAACCAGCAAAAGATTCTAAGGAGGAAGTTCCAGTGAGATGGGAGGGGAAATAAGAATGGTGTTTCAGGAGCCCAGAGAAGAAAATGGAGAAAATTATCAGCTCCATCAGATACTGCAGACAGGTCACATAAGATGAAAACTGACTTTTGCATTTGACGAAGTGGCTGAAATCAGTGACTACATGCCAAGTGGAATGAGCTCAAGAGAGAATAGAAGAAGAGGCATTAGAGTTCTACTCTTTAAAGTTCAGGCGGATGTAGTGGCTCCTGCCTGTAATCTTCGCATTTTGGGAGGCCGAGACGGGTGGATCATCTGAAGTCAGGAGTTTGAGACCCCCCTGGCCAACAAGGTGAAACCACACCTCTACTAAAAATACAAAAAATTAGCTGAGTGTGGTGGCGCACACCTGTAATCCCAGCTACTCTGGAGGCTGAGGCAGGAGAATTGCTTGAACCCAGGAGGCAGAGTTTGCATTCCAGCCTGGGTGACAAGAGTAAAACTCGATCTCAAAATAAATAAATAAATAAATAAAGTTCAGGCCAGATACCATCTAGATCCAGTGACAGTTATTTTTATTTACATGTAAATATTAATTAAAGTAGCACTGAAATTTTTCACACAAAACAGAAGTGTGATTGGAGCTCGGTGAAGAAAAAATATAGGTAATTTTATAGCCTTTTTCAAGGAGAACAAACTTCATTTCCTCTTTCTTGACATTTGGTCTTGATCTTTCCTTCGTTAGAAATTTTTCCAATTCTTAAATTTACCTACCTCCTTCCTCTCTTGGAAATAAAATTTCTCATGAACCCTGTTTTATTTCTTGACACATCTCCAGACTGGCACAGGACCACTGTAATGGGTACAAATAAAAGAGTGATAAATGACTGACATTCTAAATATTGAATATCTTACCCTGAGGCTTTTGTTGACTCTTGTTTCCATATTAAGCTTATGCTTCTTTTCTCTTGTTTATTTCACTCAGTCATTCACATTTAGAAAAAGTTTTACGTGTATCTTTTAAAAATTTTTAAATTAAATTGATAAAAAATAGATATATTTATGACATAAACATAGTATTTTAAAATATGATTATATTGTGGAATGGCTAAATCAAGCTAATTAACATTACCTCCCATACCATTTGTTCTGTGGTAAGAACATTTAAAATCTAGTCTCTTAAGTATACTAAAGTATACTATACATTGTTATCAACGATAAAATCACCATGTTGCACAAATAGATCTCTTGAACTTATTCCTCCTAACTGCAATTTTGTATCCTTTGATGAACATCTCCCCACTTCTCCCCACAACTCATGCCTAGTTTTTTTTTTTAGACGGCGGTTTGCTCTTGTTACCCAGGCTGGAGTGCAATGGCGCGATCTCGGCTCACCGCAACCTCCACCTCCTGGGTTCAGGCAATTATCCTGCCTCAGCCTCCCGAGTAGCTGGGATTACAGGCACACGCCACCATGCCCAGCTAATTTTTTGTATTTGTAGTAGAGACGGGGTTTCACCATATTGACCAGGATGGTCTCGATCTCTTGACCTTGTAAAGCCATGTATAAGATCTTGATTTTTCTATTATTATGAGTACTTTCAGAGCAGTTTATTTACTCTTCCCCCCCTCACCTTAACTAAACAGTAAAGCTCCTCCTGTTATAAGACCCTTTCTTTCTTTGAATCTAGAGCACTTACTTTCATTCACCATGCTTTTCCTTGTATTTTATTTATCTTATTGTGTCCTTTTTCCTACCTTTCCTGTTCCTCCAAAATAAGGACTGTCACACAAGTTTCAGTGCCTACAGTACAATGTTTAGCCGATTAAATGAGTAATCATTTGTTAAAGTCAATTAAGTTGAATAATACTGACCTATACTGAATTACACTGATGCAGATAGTGGGACCTTCCATTCCATAACAACTGTATAATGTTCTTAGCTTAGGGATATACTATATTTAGCTAGATTTATGAAAGTTTAAATTCTGCTATAAAACATCAAAATAAAAATGACAACTAACCCAATTAAATTTAAAAAGTTCATGGTTTGTTGGTTTGCTTTTAAAAATTTTTTTATTTTAGATGTTTGGCCAGGCATGGTGGCTCATGCCTGTAGTCCTAGCACTTTGGAGGCTGAGGCAGGCAAAATGATTTGAGGTCAGGGGTTTGAGACCAGCCTGGTCAACATGGTGGTCTCGAACATGGCCCGTCTCTACTAAAAATTCAAAAAATATTAGCCAGTGTGGTGACGGGTGCCTATAATCCCAGCTACTGAGACGCTGAGGCAGGAGAATCACTTGAACCTGGGAGGCAGAAGTTGCAGTGAGCTATTGTGCCACTGCACTCCAGCCTGGGCGACTGAGCAAGATTCTATCTCAAAAAAAAAAAAAAAAAAAAAGATATTTATTCACTAGTACTAGTATTAGCAAGTGATTTTTGTTTCACAACTTCTCTTTTATCTGAGTCAGTATTTTGCTTTTATTATACATTTCTCTGATCATCTGGTTCATACGATTATAAGTAATCAGGCTACTAATTCACCTATGAAAATTCTAATTCTTTTTTTTTTAAGATGGGGTTTCACCATGATGGCCAGGCTGGTCTTGAACTCCTGACCTCAGATGATCCACCCACCTTGGCCTCCCAAAGTGCTAGGATTACAGGCGTGAGCCACTGCGCCCAGCCGAAAATTCTAATCCTAAGTGCTGATTCACTGATGTACTAGTGAAAGCCAGGTTATAAAAACTATACTCGTGAAGACCTGGGTTTCACTAGTACAAAGAGGAGATATAATAGCCTTAGTTAAGGCTAGATTTCATATAAAATAGGGAATAATGAATATTGAAAACCAAAATTTCAGATCTTTTTACAAGTCGCTGAAGTGCAACATGAATATATTTCCCTCCAAATATTTTGTTTTTTAAATTTTTAGAGAAGGGGGTCTTGCTGTGTTGCCCAGGTTGGACTTGAACACCTGGGCTCAAAAGATCCTCCC